TGTCTACTGCGAGTAATAATAACAAATCGGGTCAAGTTGAATTTCACTGCAAGGATTTTCCTCAGTTCGCAACGCCGGGCAATTATGAATGGCAGATTCCTCGAGTTGATTGAAATTGTAACGACGTATCCGCGATCTTAGATCAATTGTTATGTGTACGATGATTCGAGTAAATGAACAAAAAAGTAAGCAAGAAGTATATCTCGGTAGACAGACACTGGAGGAGCAGGAGCAATTTACGTTCCCTGATTCTAGATCTCTGTTCGAAATTGATCCAAACGACCAATATTTAACGCACAATGTGACAGAGATTATACAACAGTTTCATCGTCTTCTTGTAGTAAGTTTGCGCGTTAAGGGATTGAAGGCCAGATGTTTCCCAGCAACAATCAGTCTTCGTGTTTGAATAATCGTCTAGCCGAAAGTGTCTAGAAGTGCTGAGAAGAAACAAAAGGAAGAGGCGAAACAAAGAGGTGGAGGGGAAACACAGAGGCAGAGAGACGTAAAGGAACTCACGATTCCTTTATGCTTCCACACAGGTGATCCTCTTTGGGCGTCTCCCTCGGAGCTCTCGCAATTAGTGGAATCGCTGCCAGAACTCTGCACCGAGCTTAGGCTACCGTTCTCCACGCTTTTGCTCAGGCCATTGTGACGCGGCTCCATAGATCTGGACGTAATGGAAGACGTTCGTTTTGGCACTTCCGGCGGCACCTTTTTCGCGGATCCCCTCGTTCTGCCGGCGGAGCCAAGATGGCCGGCGTTACTCCAGTTCTGGACCGCCTGTGTCTGAAGATTGTGCGGCGTCGACGGCGACGTGCACGGCGTCCGCAGCAGATCCCGCGGCGGCGTCTCTTGCCTGATGCTGCACAATGTCTCCTGGAACAATAACCGCGACTTTCTTTTATCGTTGTTTTAGTCCAGCCTCGCTTCAAACATTTCGGTTGATATTTCTATATCTTTCTATTGAAATATTGACGAATACTCGAGAGATATAGTTTTGGAAAGCGCTTGATCTGCTCTTTTACTCCTGAACCAAGGAGATTCTTTTCTCTATTGGAAATTTTTATTGGCTTTATTTACTCGATTTACTTTCTTTCCCAATTATTTTGTTTTCTTTTTTTCTCAAAACTAAAAAAAGTTTTGCTCTCCACTTTTTATCTATGAATCACGCTTAAGCTTGCCTCTCGTTTTCCAGCGTTAACCTACTAGAGATCTATTGGATCAGTGTCTTATCTCTTATCAGCCGCAATGAGCCGCACGACGATTAATTTAAAATATACAGATAGATCGAGTTTCATTTCAACAACTTTTCATTTCTATCTAATTAAAACACGTCTTCGGTTTTCATCTTCTACAATATATGTTGCAATAAATTACATGCTGCCATCATAATCGATTGAAGTTGTACAATGGAGGAATCATACAAACAGGAAAATCCTCGCCTATAAATTCAACTTAATTTAATTACACTGTGAGAAATTCCTGACCAAAAGAGAGATATGTACAATCTGAATCTTCTCAGAATGCAAAATTCTTGCCTAAAGAAGCAGAGACTAGAAATTCTTTACTTCTCAAAATTTCAAACTTTCTTCAACCAACGAGATACAATACTATATGGATGCGTAGATTCACAATCACCTGTGGATTGTAATAATGCATGCTGGAGCCGCTTTCCTGGGAGCTAGACTCCCAGCAGGGGCTCGGCGGTAACTGTTGGTGTCTGTTGCAGGGACTCGGCGCCAGTGAGGGCGTGTGCCTTCCGGTTTGGTGCACGTTGTGGTTGGCGTGCTGATGGCCAACGACCTGGACCTCGCACCTGCCGCTCTGGCTCCTCGGTAACGGTGACTGCGAGTTCTCCACGTGCCTCCTCTCCCTCAGCGACATGCTCCTGATCGGCATCGGCCTGTTCGCCGTCTGCGGCTGTTGTATGTAAATCTGGCTATGGTACACCATCCTCTCGTGCTCGTTCACGCTGGCGGCCCTCTCCGTCGTTTCCTGAAGCTTCCTACTGAGACGTTTCTCAGCCTTGGCCATCGCCGTGATCGCCGCGAACTTCTTCAGCAGCGTGTATCTCCTGAAGGCTCGCTGAATGGTCAGCGCCGCGTTCCTTGCCTTCACGCCGCCGTATTTCCGTTCCAGCATCTCGATCTGTTTGTCCAGCAGGTCTTGGGACAATTCGTATCTGTTCAGGGAGTAGAAGGTGATCGGTTAGCGACGTTGCTCGAAGCCGTTTAAGAGATGCGTTTGCCGTAAGAGATGTTCGTTAACCCATCGTTCGTTTTTACATCGCATCTGTCCGTTTATTTTCGCGTCACGGCGAGCGAAATGGGTTAACGCGACGAACGAAAAGCTGAGGCTTTTGAATGGAACTGAACTGGCAACGAAGACGTGCGCTCCTGGGAAAGCCACGAAGACACAACGAACAGTTTGCAGACTGTCTCGTAAATTCACCGTTCGTTGAAAATTCGTTTAAATTTCAAGGGAAATGCCAAACGGCGAAGAGATTTCAAATTTCGACCCTGGAATTCCCCCCCCCCCTCCCCACGAAGTTCTAAGCTCACAAATTCCCGAGATTTCAAGCAAGTCGTGAAAAATCTTCGAGGACGAAATCCCAGAGAGAGAAAGCTTCCGAAAGATTTCAAAATCTAAAAAAAAAAAAAAAAAAAAA